CGATTGTAAACGGAAAAAAAGAGAGAAAAAATTTCGAATATTTACACTTGAGCATTATGTGTTGTTGCTGTTGTTGAATTTTTGCTGCTAAATTTGCTAGAAGTTTATGTGTGTTGCGAATCAATGTGAGAATAGTTTGGTTTATCGGTTGTCAAGCAATTTTATAATCAAATTTTATGGCATGAACATTTTGCGATCGACTACTTCAAGTGGTTCAACTAATAATCTCACAAATAAAGTTACATTCGTTGGCTCACACAATAGCAAACAGCAACAATAACAAGAAACCGCGAAATGACGTGCAATATATTCAGTGAATTTTAGTGGCAAGCAAACATGGCCGACCCGATGTAAGCCACCACTAAGAAATATATAGGTCAAATGCAACAATTTTTATTTTAGTTCAGCTCAATTGTCTTGAAACGGCCACAATTATTTCTCTTCGTCTTCTTCTCGACTTTTTTTTCTATGCTGCAAAAGAATAAAGCAATTTATGGACGGTAATGATTAAATTAGCGGTAAACTATGTAATATAATATGTTATATCAGCATTTTAATGCTTGGCATATACAATGTAAAGACTATGGCAAATATTGACTGGTGCCATCAAACGATTGAACGTCAAATGATTGGCAGGATGAACGAAATTGGAGCCATGTTAAATTGAGCCAATCCATTGCAATTGTAATATCTAGCCATTTTTTGCTGTCAAAAATGTGTAATGTATACAGTGCACGAGGTGCCCGAATACGGTCATAAAATCAATATTTTGCTTTCTTATATATGTGCATTTCATCCAAATCGAGCCGCGCTTCTCTACACGAATTTGGTGCACGAAGGTGATGATACACTATTTTTTTGATTCGCCATGAAAGCGGAAAAGGTGAGAAAGTGTAGCGACGTGAATATATTCATGTTTAAAAAAAACTACACATAACCGAAGACAAAAAAAATATATTCAATTCGTAGATGACCTAGAATATGTATATATATTTATATTGCCTATGGCCAAATAAACATTAAAAACACCATTCGACGCATGTTTCTTTCTCTGATTTATACTGACAGCGTCATTAATTTCAGTTGGTATGTAAAGTTGCAAAACAAGCAAAGAAACTTTTACGAAAATTACTTTCAAGAAAACCAATAAAAGTGCCCACCATTCAATTGAGGAAAAACAGATTGTTTTTTCGGTTTATCTTTTCATTTCACCGTTCAACAGTAAACAAACTGACACAAAACATTTAGAACGATTTTTCAGTTCGGAACAAAAAATTGGATTTTGCTTTTGACAATAATACCAACAAAACAAAACAAACAACCACTGGTCAATTGTCGGACACATAGACAGAGAAATGCTGAACTAAATTCATTTATTTGTCTTTTGCTCATAAACTTTTCAAATTCATATCAAAAGTCGTTTTCTCTTTGCCACCGTTGCCTCAAAAATAGAAATAGAACAAACCATATGTGAGCCGATCGATAAATCGCATTTGGTATTTTTGACGACGATGAAAATGTAAACACATTAAATTAGAGTCGATTATTTATATTTCACAATGGTTTCAAGTGCTGTTTGGAGAGCGGCGATAGATTGAACAATGCCTTCCATTGAACAGCTGGAAAAAGTGCAAGTTTCACGCTCAATAATAGTAAAATTACTACAATGTCGCCGTCGGGCTGTTGTCAATACTTCCAAATCGTTTTTTGGAGTTATGGTGAAAATGGCACAAGCAATCATTGAACGAACCATTGCGGCTTTTGGAAAAACAGGGAGAGTACATGACGATGTAATTTCTCAATTGCTTACGAGAACACACACACTCTCTCTCTCTCTCTATCTCGTCGCATTGTCTTCAATAGTAATCATTAGATAGTCAACCGATGTGGTTGAATATGCATTTTTTGCTCTCAACCATAATTACAATTTAATACCTCCATTTTTACAATCCCATTTATATCAATTGTTTGCTAAACAACAACAAAAGTTTACCAAATTGTCATATAATGAGCGAATGTGATGCTTAAACGCAAATTTCAGCCATTCAAAACAATGGCTGCCGCATTTGGAAGCAGAGTAATGATTAGAAACCTGCTGTATAATGATTTTTGGCCAATATTTTGTTTTCTCTTCGCCACAAGCTCAATGAACAATTTATTGAACTAACAGCGACTGTATCATTGGCAATAAGCAATGGTAGTAAATAGCAAATGGCAATAGATAGGAATTGGCAGTGTGAGAGTGTTATTTGCTCTTGCCACCAATAAAGATAAAATGATTCATTTCAATTCGGCTTAATTGTTGGTTCGTTAGCGCAGTTTCGGTCGCACTTGTAAGCTTTGGGTGCAAAATAAAAAAAAAACATATTGCTGGATAGATTGAAAGTTGCTTATAATCCCACGCGATTCGGAATCGAATAAAAACGACGCGAAAAAAAACTGTATTGTAAGCCATTGTGCAAGGGCCGCGCGAGTCACACAAACAACGGTTGTCCATCTCTTTTTGGCATCACATTCAACAAAAGCGCAAGAATGAAATGCAACCAAATAACAACAAATGCGGATAAATATCATTTTGTATTTATCACGCGTTTCTCTTTGTTATTGTTGCCAAATAGTTGTGAGTTTGGATTTGTATATACATATGTGTGTATGTGTGAATGACTGACGAACACTGTGTGTTGTGAACAAAAAGACATCGAACGGGCACCATTTGATGTCGTCGCCGTAGCGATGATTTCAAACAAAAATATATGCTTCGAAAGAACAACAACAAAAAAACTGTACCAAAAAGTGCACAACATACACACAGTTGGCGTGTAAGAGCCAGACCGACCAATTGGCCTTTAAATAATGCGATTCGATCTATTTGTCAAGTCACCAAAGTGTCCAACAGATTCTAATAAACACAAAGGAAATTATTTTTCTTTGAACATTATTCGAAAGTGCTATATACACAAAGAGAACATATTTTGACACAAAAAAGCAGTTCAACTGAATCACATCACCATGGTCGACATCACAATCATCGCAGCGGCGTTTTCATTTTAAATGAACCGAATCCAATTGGAAATGGTTTTCAAGGAAATTTTCAATTGGTAAAACATACGGCAAAAGTGCAATTCAAACTGGCTGTCTCATAACTTGCACACTGGAATAAAATAGAAGAAATGCAATGCTTGTACTCACCATCGGTTCTTTTTATGTTGACGCTGGCTCCAATTTTAATAAGACCTTCCATTTTGATGCTGCTACGTTGAATTAAACACGATATGACATAAAACACATTAAATCGACAATGAATTAAATTGGGAAATTGATGATTTTCAATGGGAATTCATTTGAACTCGAAAACAAAATCAATTTTCTTTCAAACACATTCAATCGGTCACACAAAAACTGTAGTCTTTTTTATTAACTATTTCCTCATTCCCAAAAAAATTGAAATGCAATCTATTTCTCGCTATTTACGTGTGTTTGCGCACTAATTCCAACTTATTCGCTTGGATTTATCCAAAATGCAAACACTGAGCAAAATTATTGACGCTGATTTTCGTCAATTTTCTCCTGTCAAATAATAATAAACTTAACAAACTTTTGTTTTAAAAAAATAATTCAATTTTTGATTGATTTTCGCATTCGTGGTTGCTTTGACTCTTTCGTGTTCGAGTCGAGCTCTAGCTATGCTAGTTTTACAGCTATACACTGCTTCGTTGTACAAGTATTCAATTCGCCCATCAATTTTTACTAACAAAGCGAGGCTTTATTTGTTGTGTAGATGAAATTGGTGTGTCATACACCACACAAACACACACGCACACACACGACTATAACACACAGAAGAAAAAAAATTAGAAGTCAGATGCGAAAATGGAAATGAGAGAGAATTGCATGGCCACCGTTAATCTCTCTATAGAAAAAACGCTTCGTTTGTTACGTAAGTGTGGGTAAGTGACAGTGGTGAGAAGCGAAAAACCAACAAATACACAGCGATGAGATCAACTGTCAACCGCAATCCTCTATCTCTATCGCTCTTCTCGTCTGTATGTATGTGTCCGTGTGCATGATGGAATATAGTCGGCATAGAGGTCGCAACGAAACAGATGAGAAGATGAAAAAAACTCTCATTTCGCCATGATTAACGACAATTCGGGTTTGAATTTTTTTGTCTAGATTGAATGTACTTGTTTTGTTTTTGTACCGAGATTTTTTGTTGTTTTAGCTCATGAGAGATTACATGCAATGGAATTTTTTTTATATGGAAATAATTTTCACAAAATAAAAGTACATAATTTCCGTATCTTTTTTTTCTAGTGGATTTTCAATGGAATATTTATGCACTGTCCATGCATAGATCCAGTTAGAACTTCTGGAAATAGTTTGCGTGCAAATGATTTTAATTGATTCGTTTTTTCATTCAAATTAAGATAATAATTTTTTTCACTCAAAAAGAAAATCTTCAATTAAATTTCGATAAATTGTCGATTGACTGTGCTGCATACGAACTTAAACTCACAATCAAAATGATTGACTCACCATAAAACGATTTGGATATTTGTTATCTGACACGTTGTTAGGTAAATATTTATATAAATGACGAATCAATGCACTTTTTACACCGAGTATATTCGAAACTAATGACAATAGACTATAAAAATATGATACAAACGAATACAACAGATATTTGATTTTTTTTTAATGTACGAGCAGATGTATGAATGCGTCAAAATTGTTCGGTAAGTTTTTAAAACTGAAAAGCCGTTTGCATAGTGGTGTACCCTTTATGCTTGTTCTGACTTTTACGTGTGCCCAATATGTAATGTCAAACGATTTCGCCGCGCTCACATTCCACATGTTCCATTGGTATTTCATATACGATTTCGATGGTTTCGAGAGTTTCGAGATATTCTATTCTATATTTTGATGTACGTTAAGAAGAAAGAAAGAAAGAAAAACAATGCAATTATCTATTTGGATTGGTTCAAATGTTTTATTTAGAATTTGCTATTGTTGATAGTAATATATTTCTTTTATATGGTTTTGGCAACAAGGCACGTGGAAATAAATCTATTTAAATATCTTCAACTTCTGGAAAGTTTTGATTTCATCCAAAAGAACAAATAAAAACGTTGTCGTTATTAAATAGTTTATAAATTATAAAAGGTGATTGTAGTAAAAAGAAAATTGTTCGTCGTACAAAAGTTGTGTTGTTGTTTTTCTTCAAGTTATTGCATGATAACGGTGATCAAGAATCAAAAAATAGAGTTGAAATTCGTAGATAGTCATTTTGTACATATGATGTGGCTTTTTAACATACAATCGGAGTTATTGCGGTCGAATTCAGTTCATTCACAATTGGTTCCGCAGTAATTAAATGATCCTCAATTGATTTCTACTAAAAAAACAGATAGTACAATGTTGTGTGCACATCAATTTGTTCGATTGCAACGACAAAAGTCCAGTATAGTCTGTCGAACCCAATAGAAATAGAAAACGATTATTTGTTTCGTGGAATTTGGCATTGTGTTGGCCGGTATGGTGGCCGTTGTCGATGTTTGATTCTCATTTTGCTATGACAACATTGATGATGATTCATTTAGGCGTCGTCGTTTCTTCTTTTTTGCCGTTAAACTTTCTTGGCCACTGTCCGTATTCGAATCATCGCTGTCCGATTCACTAGACGAACTCGAACTTGATGATGACGATGATGAACTTGAATTACTTGAACTGTCCGACGCATAACCGGTGGCTTCTTTTAAATTCACACTCTCCGCCATTTCAGCGAGATCGGGCTCCTTTTCCTAAAATAGAAAAATAATATTATTGGCGACCTCAGCCAAATGTTCTCAAGACCAAATTTCGTCAATCAAAGTTTAAATCGCATAAATGAAGGAGAACTCTTTTTTTAAATTACCTTTAGCACTCGCAGCCACTTTTTCGACAACTTCGGACGGCCACGAACAGTTTTGTGCCATACGATGGGAAAATTGGTTTTGCTACAAAAGTTTTGGGTTACAGCAATAGTGTCGTCCAAATTGAGCACCACGTGCCAATAACCAACTGGAATAATACATGGTATCGATCATTTTTGGTATTTTTTTCAATCTTTTTCTATTTAATTAATAAACAAAAAATACTACTCACGAGGTACGAATACGGTTTCACCGGGTTTTTGTAAAATTTCGATCTGAAAATGCGAAAAAAGGTAGAAAATGTTATTTTTTCACTAAACATTTTTTTTACTATCATACACATTTTCGTATGATATACAATGTATTGAAGCAACTCACCGGTTGGTATTCTTTAGGCCAATCTGGAAGTTGTGTCTTAGGATAAATAGCAGAAAACCACGTGATAGCCTCGTCTCTTTGTTTACCACCAATGTCGCTAGTAACCTTTAACAATTCTTTAGGCGTGTGCGTTGGAAACAGGCACCATCGCTTGTGTCCGGAGACTAAAGCATTCCAGGCACTTGTTCCAAGTGGATCGATATGAATTCCAGTACCAGAACGAGCTAAAATCCACGGAAAAAACGTTTAGGTACATTGTCTTGCTTTGTCTCTGCCAGGCAAAAGTATCATATGAAAAAAAATCGTTAAATTACCTGGACCCATTACAAACCACCGATATGGTGGACGCCGTTCTTCACCCGCATATTTGAATAAATCATCTTGGAAATACTTTGGTATGGTGTAATCATCGAGCAGCTTTTTCCGACGATGGTGCTATTGAGATGAAATACAAAAGTCCATTTAGATCCACTAAAATTTTTCGAAAATCGTATCAATAAAATAGACTTACATCACCAAAACTCGAATCAAAAATATATAATGGACTGTCGTCCTTTGTGGTTTGCATATATTCAACATAATACTTCATTTTCATTTTAACACTGTATCCCTCGTTATCTTCACCGCATTTAAATTTTTGGTTGCGATATTTTTTCATCAATCGCGGTAAAGTCCATTTTTCGTTTGCTTTCCAGCTCGTCTGAACAAAACAAGAAAAACCCAAAATTCAACAATGATTCATCAACAAAAATAAACTGAATTGAGTCATATTTTTGAAATTTACCTGAATGCCTTCAATTACTACCGGTTTGTTAATTTTTTCGAATCGTTCGATAAATTCATTACAATCCACATCTCGGGCATTGATTCGTTCACAATTGTCATTAAATTTCCAGAATGGTTCAAATCGGCTTGCAATGTCTAATGCAGTCCATGCTCCCTTATCGCCCAATTCTATGAATTTAAAACGAAACAATTTTTTTTAGCAAATCAAATGCATTTTATTTGTGTTTGTATCGAATGGCAAAGCGGCGTACGTGACTTGTCAATATACGATGACATTTGTTCGATAGGCGGCGTGAAGTTTACGGTATTATATAGAACATTCTCGCATTACAAAGTCTAGGTCACATACAAAAGCAACAACAATTACTGCGAAATAGCATTACACATTTTTTTTTTAAATTCACACCAATCAAACGATATAAAACGATAAAATTCTACGCTTGAATGCGAAACATTTTTATCATACAATATTTTGCACGTTTTTTACGAATAAAATCGCATTTCACAAACCTGGTCGAGCCTTTCGTTTAACATCTCTAAGCCGTTTACGAGATCTATGCGAAAGTTTCACTTCCTCTGGCATTATTCACGCGTTTTTAATCGGTTTGTCGAATGATACACCGATTTAAGAATAAACACAAAATAAAATTCTAACGAAAATAATAAGGAAACCGATTGAAAGGAACTTATTTTCACTGAACCAATCCAACCATTCGTACGAATTGTGAGTGCATTGACACAAAACTGTTGGATCTTCTTTTGCTTTTTGTCAATATGGCTACATATACATAGCATTTATACAGAACCACTACTACTACAATTCGGTTCAACGCTCAATTCGCCATTGCCTACAAGTGTCAAATCGATGCAGCGAATTCATGCAATGTTGACAGTTCGCTGTTCTTAGGTTCATTGTTTACTTTTTTTGTGAATGCTCGAATTTAATTAAAATTTTCAATTGATGTTGCATTTGTTGGTGATTTTGGTGTCGAAAAATGTTCAAAATTCAAAATCTACAAAAAACAATGATTTTTCAGTTGTAAAAAATTTGAATCGCATTTCCCACCAAAAACAAAGATTTGTTGTCAATGGATATGCGTTGATTTCAAATTTTAGTACGATCAAATTGAAATGATGGCCTAGATGGCACACAAATCTAACAAATGACTTTGACAGCTACTATTAAGCCAACTAAGGCATAAATGTTTTATCTTGGTTAATTTCATAAACGACGCTTACTTTTTAATCAGTAAATTGCGTTATTTGAAAAATTTCAAAATCAAAATGAACATCAAAATTGACATAAATTTATGTCGTGTGTGTAAGAAAGAAGAGCCCGGTTCAAACATTTACACCGGCAATATTTTGGAAAAGTTTTTGTACACAACTCTAGTACAAGTAAGTGAATATACAATTCTTTTACTACACAAATCTTTTATTCATTTTTTGTTGCCTTCATATCTTGACTGTTGTTAATTCCCGTTGCACACAAAACAATTCGATTTGTTGTTGTATCGAAACCAAACAAAAATGTACAATCGAGTTTTTTTATTATTGTTTTTATTCTGAAGCAGCTTCATTGTGTACATTGTAGTAGGGTTCAAAGTTCGAATTTTATTTTATGTATTTGATATTTGTAGGTTGAGAAAAATGATGGCTTATCGGAGATTATCTGTAAGAAATGTTTGGCTCGATTACAAATTGCCTATGATTTCAAGCGACAAGCAGTCGAATCACACCGTGAACTTCGCAGCTTCATATCGAATGTGAATAAACAATTTAAACAAGTCACTGGAACAAAAACAAAGCAAAAAGACGGCGAAAGTGAGTCGTACGATGAACTGGAAGATGATATGCAAGCGATCATCGACGATGAAGTCGAATACAAGGAAATTGATGTCGAATTTTCGGATGATACCAAAAAGGCAATTGACAGAGAACAATTGGTTGAAATATTGGGCGAGAATAATGCGATCACCATACGAAAAACACGAGCGGTCAAAATTCAAGAAGATGCCAACAATGAAGCACCTGAAAATATGGAAGTGTATTTGGTGGAAGAAGGACATGAAGGTGAATCTGGATTTATACTCGATGAGTATGATGAAAATGGAGGGGAATTAATCGTTGACGATGTCGACTATTTGGAAGATGATGACATTGACGACTTGTATGAAACGGTGAGAGTTTTTCTTTTTAAATGAACATTTTTTTTTGGATGTAAACAGTTGGAAATGTTAACAATTTCAATGTTCATCGTAAAAGGAGGAGGTCGTGCAAACGAAAAGAACGACATCGAGAGCAAACAGAAGTAGTTCCAGCGTAAATGCAGACAATCGTTGCAATATTTGCCAGAAGACCTTCAGCACACGAACCAATTTGACCAGACATAAAATCACACACGAAGGCCGAAAACCATACGTTTGCCGAATTTGTGGTTCAAGCTTCACACAAAATGGTTCGCTCAAATGTCATATGGTAAGCTCAGGTCAGAAATTCTTCCAGACAACTTTTTCAATATTCCATTCGTTTTTAGTTCATCCATACAGGAGAAAGGCCATATAAATGCGATCAGTGCGACAAAGCCTTCACCCAAAGCAAATCATTGGTGTTTCATAAACGACGACGTAAGTGTGATCTTGGATCTTCTTTATCGTCTATCAATTTTTTTTAAACTATCTTCCATTCTAATCAGATACCGGTGAGAAACCATTTCCCTGTGACGTGTGTGGCATCCAATTCCGGCAAAAAGATGGCCTGAAGCGACACATAGCTGCAAAACATGCCGCACAACGGACAAAGAACCACATTTGTCATATTTGTGACAAAGTTTTGCTGTCGAGACATTCGCTAAAAGCTCACTTGACTCGACACAACGACAAAGACATAGAAGAGAAATTTAATCAATTGGAAAAACTGTAATTTAAACCATATATTTTATGAAGGTTAGAATAAAAAAAAACTCAAGAACTTTCCTCTATTTTGTTTCCAGCCATAAGGCAAATTCCACCGATCCAATGAAGGGTACGTGAAAATGTTTCGAATTTTTTCATAAATTGGACATATTTTTTTTACTAATTTTCAAATTTGTTTGCATTACAGTTGCTAAAACTGAAAATGAGAAAATAGAAGATTCAGAGACACCAGACGACTGGGATGAATTGTTTGCATGCGAATTTTGTGATCAAGCGTTTTCAAACTCAAATGAATTGCTAGAACACCGTGAAACTCACAACGAAGCACAAGAATAGTAAACAAAACCATTTAGTTTTAAGAATTATTATATATTATTTAAAACCAAAAACAAAATGTCCCATCTTTTCAAAGCTAACCTACTTAGCTTGTACATTTATTACTTAGAATTTAAAATGTGTTAATCGTATCACATTTTTTTTATGAAAATCCATTTTCAATATTATTCCAAAATTTAATTAAATATATAAAATCCATGTATTGTTTTCTATTTGATCACCAATTGTTGTTTGTACAATTTTATTCTTTGAACAAATTAATAAAACATTTAAATTTTAAATGTAAAAATTGATTTCTACCAAAATCTATAATCTCAAAGCAATGAATATGTGTTGTAATTTTAGTACGACTAAATGGAATTAAAATAGCCTGTATGACACAAGCAGACCATATTTTTAAATTATTTTCGGTCGATTTCTCAAAATGTGCCGAACTGGTTTTTGGGGAATCGCGTTGAATACTGCAATTTAACTTCATAATTAAAATCCAAATCTGTAGCTAAATCTACTTAAGTTTGTAAGAAAGTAGAGCTCGGTACAGGTGTTTATAACGGCAATATTTTGGAAAAGTTGCTGTACACAACTCTAGTACCAGTAAGTGAATATACAATTCTTTTACTACATTTTTATTCATTTTTTCACATCTTGTCTGTTTTTTTGTTAATTCCTATTTTAGGAAACGATTTATTTTTAAAACATTGTTGTATCAAGCGCAGACATTATAAAGAGATACTTTCAGCCAGATGAATCAGCTCAGCCAGATATCGTCAGGAGCTGAAATGGAGTGAAAACAATAAAAGTGATTGTTATAGTGATTATAGCAATGTAAGTGTAATTATAACCATAACAATCACTTCTATTGTTTCCACTCAATTTCAGCTGCTGACGATATCTGGCTGAGCTGATTCATCTGGCTGAAAATATCACATTATAATGTCTGATCAAGCGACAAATATTCAATGATTCGATTGAAGTTGTTAAATGAGCAATGGTGCAGAATGCTTTGTGTGTCCGGTTCTTCTGATCAGCTCAAAAATATGTTTAGTTTAAAAATTTCAATATACTTAAATATTTCCCAAAATATTTAAAAATTAAATGGAAAAAACTCATGATTTATGTTTCAAAACCATTTTAACCTTGCAAAAGTTCCAACCATTCTTGATTATGTTGAATTGTTTCAGCATTAATTTCAGTTAAATCAACATATTTAGGAACCATGAAAGACAGCTTCAACTTTTCTGGGCGATTTTTAACCAATTTCAACGTTTTCTTGTAATTTTTAATAGTAAATTTTTTGAGGCCGTTCGATTTATAAACCGTCATCTTGGTTAATTTGTGGGCATGATGTAGCATTTTAATTATTTCGTCAAATTTGATATCGTCTTCGTTTTTCCCATCAATAGAAAATTCGAATACACTGAGAAGTGGAAGTGCTTTTGCCAGTCGTACGATTTGTTTACATTCCATACCATGAATATGTGACAGTTTCAAGATATTGATGCCCTTTAATTTCATGATGCTGCAGACAATGTCATCGTCATCGTTTTTGTAAGTATCGAAGAGAGTCAAACTTTCAATCGGAGCACCAACTTCTGCTAATCCATCAATCAATGTAACGACTGGAATTTCAGCGTCTTCAATCTCAAGTTCCTTTAGTGATTTTAATTTTTTCAAGCCTCCCATATCTGCTCCGCGGTATTGATCATACCCACAATAGCCTTTATAGCGCAATACTTCTAAATTTGGCAATTTGTTGGCAATAGTTTTGAATCCTTTGTCCTTTAGATGGAAACCCTTAAGGGATAGTTTTGATAATTTTGAATTTTTCAATAGATCAGCAATTCTTCCATCGTTATCATTTCGACTATAGCATTTCTCCGTTTGGTCGCATTCACACTCATGAAGATATTCCAAATGAAGATGCTCCAGCTTGGGAAAGTTCATCTTACATCCAATCAAATTCCAAACAACGTCTTCATGGTGGTATTCACACTGACTATACAAAAATAATTGTTCCAAATTTCCACAATATTTCGTTGCATCCATGAACTCATTAATTGCTTCCACTTTATCTTCCCAAAACACTTTCAAAACTTTGATGCCATCACCCAAATGTTGCAGCACGTTTTTTACTTCTTCAAACGACATTTTGTTTAAGTCAATCTCGTATTCATAAAATGCGTTGGTGCCGAGTTTCTGGAAGAGCGTACACGTCTCCACTACACTGCACAAATCCTTTGAATTCAAGTGGCTAAAAGTCTGCTTCCAATTTGCGTCAGCCACTTTGAGTTTCTTTGGTGGATCAGACGGTGATGAGTTCGGTTTTTCGACATTCAAGATGTAATTACCAGCTCTGTGATATGAATTTTTCCTTAATGGGAAAGTGTCGCTCTCTCTTTCATATCGAATGGTGACCAATATATTTTCAATTTCACCATATTCTTCAAAGTATGGTACGATTCCTTCTGCCAACATCTATTTAAAAAAAAAAACATGATGGCATTTGGTAAAAAATTGCATCATCTTGTTGCAAAGAAAAAAATCATTAAAATTTATAATGATAAAAATACTCACAGATTTGATAATTGGAAAGCGAATCTCACGATCTGTTTCATTTTTATCAGAAAATGCATCCGAGAACGTACGCTTCGAGGAATGACCTGGAATTGGTTGACTCGACATAATTTTATTTGATCGAAATGTGCTAAGTGTTGACTGATGAAGCGAGAGTATAGAAAGACCGACACGATATCAATTAGAAGAGTTTGATGACAGTCATTTTGTTAACGTGTGAATAAGCGCACGCATACAAAAGCAACACGTAACATCAAGAGAAAAGACAAAGTGTTCGACAGTCATAGCACGCATACAAATGCAACACAAACTCAACATTCGGAACAAATACAAAGCGATTGACAGTTAATTGTTTTCTTAATTTTGCTTAACCACCCCAAATAAATCACTAGAATAATCTCGCTCTAAATGAACACGCAAATAATCGGATGTGTCACCTAAATAAAATATGACGAATTTTTTTAGAGAAACGATGAGATTGCTGTCAAAAAAGATAAAAAAAATAAAATTCACTTTAATAAGCGTATACTTTCCACTTAGTCCGTTGCAACAGAAAACAAGTTTGCATAGAATGCAGCGCCAACTATATGTGAATTTTATTTTTGATTGTTTTAGGCAATAATTCTATGGTTTTCTCATGGCTTCTTTGTAATGTAACGCTTTTTATCCTCACTTGGAAAAGTGATTGCATTTAATGGAAACAAGAAAGGTCTTAAGTTAAAGTCATACCATGCATTGTAGTTTTTGTAGTTTGTGAAAGTAAACATTTGGAAGAATTGATCTTTGTTGGATTCTATTTACTTTTATTTAATAAAATTCATTTTAGAAATATCTGTGTTCGGAATTTCCCTAAGGCCGCTATAATTTGATCAAGTTGGTGCAAGTCTTAATTAATGAGTAAAGAAAACTAAATTAGATCATATTTGAAAATAAAGATATGTTGACCTATATCAAACAATACGGAAAGTTGGTGTAGAGTTTTGGTTTTAGACACCACCCTTCACAACTTCCAGCCATTCACGATTGCATTGAATCGTTTTTTCATTCAGTTGACTCAAATCAGTATCGTCAGGAACCATCAACAACAGCTTCAATTTATGCTGACGAAGTTTCAGCAAATTCAATGTTTTATTGTAATTTGCCATTGTGAGTGTTTTCTTACTCATTTCAACATCATTACCATAACGGAGTGTTATCTTTGTTAGTCGGTCGGCATAACGTATCATCTTTATCATTGCGACAAATGTGATATCATAGTCAACGGGTGATTCAGATTCATCAAATGCATCAATAGTAATCACAAATTCGGTGAGATGTGGAAGAGATTTTGCCAAATCTATAAAGTGATTACTTTTCAAAACGTGAAGCTCTGAAGTTAGTTTCAAGACTTTTATACCTTTTAATTTACAGATACTGTGGACACTTTTATCTGCAATGTCATCGAAATTACCAAAGAGCTTTAAACTTTCGATAGGGGCACCACTTTTTGCCAATCCGTCAATCAATTTAACGACCGGAATTCTGTAGCCATCAATCTCAAGTTCCCTCAGTTCCTTTAATTTTCCCAAATCGTGTATACCAGTTATGTTGTATGGACTAGTCTCAAAATAGTCTTTATAGTAGAATGCTTGCAAATGTGGCAATTTGTTGACGATATAATTGAACCCTTCACCTAGATTGAAACGCGCAAGAGTCAGTTTTGATATGTTTGAATTTTCCAATAGACCATCAAAATCTTCATCTCTATTGCAGCTAATGACACATAAATTACATACATGTTCACATTCCAAATGGAGATGGGCCAGCTTGGGAAAATTCATCGTGAGACTAATCACTGTCCAACATGGTGTATCCATTTCATGAGACTTACACGAAGAGTATAAAACTAATTCTTGCAAATCTCTACAGTATATGGCTGCCATGCCCATGAATTTCTTAATTTTATATGTTATATCGCCAGTTGACCATGAAAGTGTTAATTTTTTGAGTGTACCACCGAAAAGTTGGAGAATTTGTTTCATTCCATCTAGGCAATATGTGTTTAAATCAATCCGGAATTCGCCGTTGTATTTCTTTGCAAATACCTTTGAGCCGAGTTTTCGGAAGAGTGCGCATGTCTCTGTTACACTACACAAATCCTGATTATTGAAACTGTCCAAAATATGCTCCAAACACTCTTCCTTGAGGTCCAGAATATGAGATGTCGTAACGCTATTGGCTGTTGGTGAATCGGTTGGTTTTTCGACTCTCAAGATATAACGACCAGCTAAATGATTCGGTGTTTGCAGTAATGGAGTGATGTCTGTTGGACTTTTGTATCGAATGGTGACCGACATACTTTCAATTTCACCATATTTTTTGAAGTATGGTACGATTCCTTCTGCCACAACCTGTTAAATAGAGAATTCACCATTTTGTTGAAATAATTATGATTTTGTTGCAAAGAATGCATTAAAATATATCTACCGATAAAAATACGTACCGTCTCTGTAATTGGAATTTGAATTTCACGATCGTTTATTTCAGCCATTTCAGCCGCCGAGAATGATGCTGTTTAGGAGAATGACGCTGTTCTGCAAATATTTTTAATTCATCGCATCAATGGAATATAAAATAGCAAATAAATTAGCTACAAAAACAGCAAATAATACAAATAATGTTTGAAAACTCACTATGGCAAATGTTTTAATGTTGAAAATCTATAGAATTTTTCCAAATCGCAGATATTATAATTTTTATGATGAATATTAAATGTTAAATGTCTATGAAGCGGTAAATTGATGATTACTTTTGGCGGACGAAAACAAAGATAGAATGAAATAGACGATATGAAATCAGTTTCTAAGGTTTGCAGACAACTTTCTGACTATTTCTGCACTAGTTAAATTGAACACACAAATACCGAAACAAAAAATTAACTCCGACACTTGTAGGTAAAGTCGATGTAAATCAATAAAACCGATTGTTTTTGACATTAGAAATACTTTCGCCACAGAGCATTTGCTTGCATCTCAAACTTGTGTAGTATGCGATGTCATGTCATACCAATACACTTATAACGTCATCTAATCAGCATCAAGCAGCAATCACACTAGTGTCAATTGTTTTGATAGAACAAACTTATATTTCATTGGAAAATTCTCACTTTTATGTTTTGGTTAAATTAAAATGAGTAACATTGAAGAGTTTAAAAACATTTATAATCTCGTACTAACTTTTTCGTTGCCGTTTCGTTGTTTCTTGTACTATTTTCTACCTGATAAATTGATCTTTTGTGTTAAGAATTTTAGTTCGGTAGTTATATCAGTAGCAAATGTGGTTGTTTTTTTTATTTACACGCATAACTTATTGAACATCTGTTCATCAGAAAGAAAGTTCATTTTTTATGTAGAGCCCAGACAGATTTAATAGATTCTATTTATTGAGAGAAAGCAATAAATTTTAAGGGGTATTTTTGTGTCTATCGAATTTAATTGATTGTTTGGTTACAGCAAGCGACACATTTTATCTATGTTCAGCATCTTCAGATCCTTAATTGGGTTGAAAGTTGAAAAAAGTAGTCTGAATAAGAAAAAAACTCAAACCATTTATTCAACTGTCAAAATATGGTATACGAAATACGCTACGAACGTTCGTGGACAGCACTGGTCGATACACCATTGATATATAAATGTTTCCCTTGCAGCAATTAATCCTTTTGTATGCCAATTAAATCAGTAAAAACACGGATAACTTTTTTTTAACAATATAATTTATTTGATAAATTAAACATTTAATTGACATATCTTAAAAATCTATTCAATTAAACTTGAAATTCATTGACTATGACAATTTGAACGCGATTCGTCATCGGTTTGGAAACAGAGAAGAAATACAGTATACCATTGACAATGCCAACAATCTGGAATGAAAAACGGCCATTTTAAATTAAGAGTATGGAAAAATTTTAAGTTTTGCAAATGATTTATTCCTTACCGCGGCACGCTTATAGTCATCATAAACATCAGCTCTTTTATATTTGTTGGTAATTTCACCAATACTAAACATATTTCTTCCAAACCATTGCGCTGTACTTTCAATTAGATTTTTCTCGCCAAAATATTTGTGGATGCCAAGTTGATCGTCTCCTTGGTCGCTATCGATCGCAATTAGTAAACAGAAAGAAGCGAAGATAATACAAAGGGAAGCGGTTAAATTATAGGACCATTCCTGAAAAATGTTCAAAATTGTTACATTACTTTTTTTTTAAAATATAGAGCAATGAATGTAAATACTGTGAGCAAGAATGTTTACACTGTAGTTGTTTAATTGAGTCATTTGTCTCAACATAATGCTATATTCTCAATAATGGCGGGAAGAATCATTGTCACCCAATTTTTTTTTTCAATGAAGTTCCGATTTAAAAAAAATTACTTACAAAATGCATGAAATTCGCTGTAGTCGTGAATGGTTGGATTTTGTTTTTTTCTTGTTGCTCTAATACTACAGAAAAGGTCCACACAACCATTGTTGTGAAAACAAACAAGATGACTATAATGTGAAAAATTAATTCAAGTCCAGAAGAAATTGTGTCGTTGAGTTTATGGAAACAAATTGCGTTGTATTTAATGCAAATACACCCCAAAACCTGTTTAAAAAACGATATTTTTTTAAAATGATGCTGATTGAAATATTACTTGTATACATACCAATTGAAGGAATTTACAAAAATTATAAGAAAAATTCATGTTTGCTGTTTGAACACACACTTGGTTTTTTACAACAAAAAAAATCTCAATATATTTTGGACCGTACAGTTCAATTGCTGAGCACTAAATGAATGTGCGTTACGGAAAAAATGTAAAAATGATAAAGTCAGAAGAAGATCATAGTTTTTTTTCGAAAAGTACAATATTTCAGATAAAAAACACAAATACATTTAAGTAGACCATGTGACCAAAAAGTGTATTATCATGTTTATCTATGCATTTATATTTAACAAGAATTCGGCTGATACATGAGTGCGAAGAGCACCATAAACAAATCCTTCTACCTGAGCTAATCTTTTCTTTCATTCGACACTAGACAGAAATGTGTAACTCTATGTGCCTAAATTGCAAGTAGTAGCTGTTTATCAATATGAATGATGTGAAATAGCCAAAAGTTCTCCACTTAACAGATTGTCATAAAAATAAGCGCCTTGCCTTTGGACTTTGAACTTATAGGTTTTTGTGTGTTTAAAGGTTTTGATGGTTGCAAACTTCAAAATTAGTGATAG